TATTATATATTAAATTTAATAAACTTTCAATTTTGTCAATTCAATATTACAATTCTAATATTAGCTAACCAAAACGATTTTACATAACTCTCAGCTTTCACAATCTTGATTTCAACTACTTAAGACTCCAACGCTTGGACACTTGGGTCTTGGTTTATTGTTGGTAATTAGGTACGATGAATATGATAAAAAAATAGGTTAAATCCTTAATTTGATCCCTGAACTATTGTATAAACTCTCAATTTGATTTTTATTATTTATCAATTTATTCCAAGTTAATCTTTTCATACAAAAAATAGTTGATGTGTCCGTTACTTAATGACGAAAAAAAATAACTTAATAGCTACGTATCACGTTAATAACAAGACACGTCAGTTGATTTTTGTATAGAAAAACCAATTTGGGGTAAATTGGTAAATAATAGGAACCAAATTGGGGTTCGTACAATTGTTTAGTAACCAAATTTGAGATTTTTTTTAGTTTAAGAAACAAATCAGAGATCTGTACAATAGTTCAGGGACCAAATTGAAGATTTAGCCTAAAAAATACATAATGGGCTTTGAGAGTTTCTTTAACAAGTGGGCTAGTTGTTCTACTGGATGGACTTCACAGAGCAGGTCCACAGAATGGGGAAAATCCCATTTTAAAGCTTTTTTTTTCTTTGGTTTAATTTAATAAACAATCCACTCATTTGTATATTTTTTTTTCTATTTTATATACTATTTTTAGATATTTTTAGATTTACATATTATTTTTAATATTTGCTTCAATTTAATCTAGTATATTAACTTTCTAAGAGCAATTTTATTCTGTTTGATTAAATTAATTTTTAATTATATCTTTTGTAAATTTTTACTATTTAAAATTAATTTTGAAATAAAACTATTTTTTTGAAGATGAAAAGTTACTTTTCAATATCTAATGAACTACAATCTCTATTATATATTGATTCAGATTTTCCTTTTAATAATTCTTTCTCAAAATAGACGTCACAATTATTAATATATTTTAATAGTTTATACAGTTTATCATAGATTACTTTACTAATTGAGATTATTTTGTTTTAATTTTAATTTAATTTTTTTTAAAATAAATAAAAAATTTATACAATAAATTATTTTAAAATATTTTATAAAATATTTTTTTCAAAAAATAATTTTTTAAGCTAAAATAAAATGAGTTAATAATTAATAAAAATTAAACCCTTTTTCTTTTGAAAATTTTTGTGCCCATCCATG